GCCTTTTTGAATTAGTTTTACTTCCAAATCAGATCATTTGTTTTCGATTTGTTTTTTCAGTTATACTAGTTTCCTCCGTGTACAAAAATTTATTTTTTGAATGTATGGGCATCCTTTCCTTTATTCACCAATTAGTGTTTTCTCTCTTCCTGTAAGACCGCCACAAATGAATCCCATTTACCCCTCCCCGTCTCCATCCCTTCCCCTAATCAACCTTAACCACTTCCTCTTGCCACTGCAAGCAGTCAATGCTTACAACTGCATTCGAACTGTAGCACTCTGTCATTCACAATGAAATGAAACTGAAAATGTAATGAATATTAAGACAAGTTTATTGAAAGTTGAATAGCTATCTTAGTTATTGAAAAATAAAAATAAGATTTGTGGCATGTTGCGCGGTTGCAATTTGCCCAAATACTCGTTTCAAATTTTGATGTAATTAGACTAACATTTCAAAAACAATTACGTTGCAAAGTTTCATATTTTCGTGAAATCTTAACTCTAGAGTGAAATGTATCCTGTGAAAAGTATATAGGCAATTCATATTTAAAATTAAACATTCATTCTGAAAATAAGTATCTATATAGCAAAGAAATAGACGTTAGTAGCACAACTATATCACGGGATGAAATAAAAGATCAGCCAGATTCAAAGTTGAAGATTACAATCGCCACAGAAATTACGAAATTCTTTCAAAAACTTACTCCAAAAGTCCGAAGGAAATTTAATCAGAATATGTGGATGAAGGTAACTTGTAATCATTGTTAAAAATAAATCAGATGTGTGCAATTCTACGGTTCAATTTCTTGACAATCTAGAAAAATATTTTATTATTCCTGGTAGAGAACAATCAAATTTAATTCGACATTACGGAACATGGGATGGGTTCTAATAGAATAAAAAGTACTACTTGTATAATCCGGAAAACAACGTAACAGCAATGGAAAATTTTAAATCTTTTGGAAAAATAATAATCTTTAGAAAAAAGATCTCCAATTGTAGTTAATAGTTATTTCTAGTTAGTTTCATATGAAAATTTGAAATTAAGAGATGGTAGAAAACTAGCCGTCCTTTGTTCAATGAACTCAGAAGTAATGGAACATCAATTTTGAATTTTTAACAAGACGCTGATATTAACAGACAACAGGAAAGGAAATTGTGATGAAGGATCTAACAGAAGCTCTCCTTACATGACGTAGTACGAAACAATGCATTAAGACTAGACAACACTAAGTAGACCACAGTAAAGTGGAAAATAAGAAGCGGAAGTGTGACTTTTAACTAAAGATAGAAGAGTGAATATGGCCACTAGAGCCCAAACGAGATCATTATAGTTAGGGTGAACAAGATAAATTTAGTACTTCAGGAAAAAAATAGAGTACACAATATACCGAGAAGACATTTTATTTCCCGTCTATGAATGGTAGAGCCAAAATTAATTTTAAATTAAATGTCCGACAGAAGGGGTGGAAGAATAAGACCCCATTTTGGTCTGAAGACTCAAATATTAGAAGTAATAGGTGAGAAGGAAGTTCAAGAATGTCAATCAGAGACGGCGAGATATCTGGAGCTCGTTTAGACGATCAAGAAGGCAGGTTTTAGTTAATACAAATTGTGCACTATTTACTAGGCTGTCCGAGTGACGCCGCGTCCATGGCGAAGGTGCCGACGTTTCGGTCGCCATTCTGCAACCTTCCTCAGGGCGTAATGCATTACGCCCTGAGGAAGGCGGCGTCACCCGGACATCCTAGTAAATACCGACTCCGGCTGCGGAAGCCTACGCTCTCAAATTGTGCACGTTTTCTCTAGCTCCAGAATCCCTACCACACGTTTTTACCTGAACATAGTTAAATTATTAATGAAAGTACCGATAAATCGGGCTTAGCAACATTTGAAAACTAGAAATTTTTGCTCCTGAATAAAAATACATCTGCTGACAATAGATTTACGAATAATCTACTGATGTGAGATTGAAAACAAATCTAAATAGTGGCTATCCCACGTCACCATACAAACCGCTGTCTTCACACCTTTCATTTTTCACATTTCACACAGATGAAATATGAGATAGCTCACTTCTTTTCAATCTTTGTCGTATCTGAATACAGATTCATATTCGGTAAGCCTCCTTTTTTTTAATAGTCTTTTAAGATGGTTACGTCTGTTGATCACATTGAAGAGTACCTGAAACAGTAGAGTTACTGGCACAGAATCCCTCACAGATCTTCACAAAATCAATACATACTTCTACAGAGTTGAAACCTAACTCTGTAAATCGTGCATTGGTTAATTATTCACCAGCGCACATGTAAGGAAATATTTTAGGCGTAAATTTAATCTTTTTTTCCTTTACTGCATTTTTCCCACATTTCTTACCGTTATTTTAAATATGTTGAAATATACCATAATGCTGAAAAATAAGCAGAATTAGACCTGAAAAATAAGCAGAATTAGACCAAAGTAAGAAGTATTAGAACAGTTGTTATACATCGACAATTTATTGCGTTGGATTATTTAGTCTATATTCGAGTGTTCAAGAAACTTTCTTGAAAAATAGCTTTATTCACATTAATTTAAATATATGTATTCTTGCCATGTATACACATGGTCTTTACAATTTTTATTTTGCCACGTCTCACGCGGACGTATGATCCTGTAAGGAAGAAATTAATTTGTATTTATTTCATTAATGTGTACACATAGAACTATATAGCAGTTTCGAAAAAATACCACCCTATTTTAAGTGTGCAGTCCGCCAACTAACGTTTCGCACTCAAGTACGACTGAACGATGGGCAGCCCTTCAGTTTTCCTTAAGTTAGAAGAGCGTATTCCAATTTATTATGTATTTTGATTTATTCTTTACATTGCAAAAATTATGTACAGGAACGTCGTAAACATTTGAAAGTAAGTTGAATCGAAACATCCCTAGCACTTAACCTACCCACCCTGCCCTGTAAGCCTTTTAGGCGTGTCCCTCCTAAACCAACAGTTGGGCATGTGGCCTTCCCTGCTGAACCACAATCTAGTTTACAGTCCAGAGGGAGGTCACCTTCCATTCACATCAATGCAAATTGCGAGGTGTAATGCCATCTCGCAGCTCAATAAGTTTCCCAACCCAGACAAGGTCCCCAATTTGTGGTATGAACAGAATGCATAGCCATGACAAAGCGCTAATCCAGCACATGGAGGTGATCCCATAATATAGCTAAGCAATACGTCTTACTACGTACTATGCGCGGCTCTGCAGCTTTTCCTACATTTGCCCATCCATAATAATATATCGGTTTTATATGCCCATCCACTAGCCTGCCGGGCCCTGGTCACTTCAAAAACAATCACCAATAACCTCTTCACAACCCGACACGATATGACCGAGCGTAGGGCGGGTTCGAGCGGTGGGCAGAGCAGGAAGCGGTGCAGCGATGGGCTACCGCTTTTCCAGAGAGAGAACAGCAGAGCTGTTACCAAGATAACCAAAAAGTATATTTCAGAGACCGTACTCAATGTGAAAAGGAAAAGCCTTATTTGCCCAACTTCCGGTGCCGCCACATTGTTCTGTATAATTTCTGTTGGGTGAACGGACATCCAATAGCGAAGAAGTAACCGGTAAATTTGAAATAAACCAGCAACGCAGGAACTTTCAAATTTCACTCCCATACTTTCCACGCCTCAATTTATTAAAAAATTCACAATAATAATTATAAGGATTTTATGAAAAAAGTCAAATTAGGGCAGCATAATCTAGTATTTATTGAGCATATTGATATTATACAATTTCGTAATTTCATTAGCAATAACAATTTTGTATAACAGAAGGTAATAAACAGTACACCTGCACAATTGCAACTTTAGTATTTGCTTGTAGATATGCCAAATTAGAGTGAATACTACATTATTAAAAAGATTATGAATGAACAATACGAACAGAATTGAAAAGAAACAAATGAAAATACTACCGCACATTTGCCCAGGTAAAACAAATAGTTATGTTTTTTTCAGAACATTCTGAAGCAATTCTGTCACTTTAGGCCAAGTTAAATGCAAAACAATTTGAGCCCCTTTATTAGGCATGAATCTGCAGGCCTTGACGAACACGCTTTTTACTAGTTGCAACCTAAAAATGTTTTTCGTTAGTCACTAAATATTTGAAAAAATATTTCTTTTACCCATGCTAATTCACAACATGCACAATTAGAGCCTGGTTTTTAATGTGGGACCACTGTGAAAGGTACTTCCCTTTTTAAAC